ATGCAATATATATTATTTTTCGTATAGTTTTTGAATATCTAAGTTTTTTGTTTAAAATATCGAATTAATGTGGACAGATAGAGTATAAACAAAGGGCAAACTAGTAAAGTTGATCAATTAATGAGTGATTTCTTAATTACCATATAAAATAGAAACTACCCATCTATTGGGGCATAGGGAGTATCAAATACCGTCTTCGATTTGATTTATTTGTTAGATTTTAACTTGATATGAAATTTAAGAAAGTAAATAAGAACTTTTAAATTTTATAGTCTCTTATATATATGTCAGGTGGAAAATTAAGATTAAAGATTTATATAAAAAAAAGATTTGCTCTTTCAATGGAAAATTGTATAAAATAACAAATTATTAATTCAAATTAAATATTATAGCCATAGTTTCTTTTATTTGTAATTCGCAGCAAACATTCCATGTTTTTTGTCATCCCATTTGTATACCGAAATATACAAATGCAGGACCATTTGTATACTGAAATATACAAATGCATGACTAATTTGTATACAGAAATATACAAACAATCCAAAATAGAGATTTTTATGTATATGTATACCGAAATATACAGATTAATAGCTATGACAAACATAAAGTTTGATATGGAGCACAATTATATAAACTATAGCTATAACATACAAATATGATTTTTATATTTGCTAGATGTGAAAGTTGTTCTTTTATTAAATGGACTATAAAAGAAAATTAAAACGGCGGGACTAATAGATCTGAATTATGGACTCCAATTTTAAAAATTATGACAAATTCAACACTAAAATTTTCAAGAGTTGAACTCATTAAAACTTCATTGTTAGATCAGTTTCTGGATTTGATTCAACAGCAAAATTAGAAATTTTATTTCAAAGTTTTCAAATTTCAAGAACCACCTGTGCTTTGCTCTGCTATATTTGACTGGTCAATTTTAACATTATTATCGTAATTTTGATATTGTTTGACTTGATGCAAAATTTATAAAATTATTATTTTAAAATTTGTGTTTTAAAATGTTCTTGATCAATTGTGTGGTTATAAGTTATTTTTGATGGAAAAATTACTTGGATGGTACTTTTTAATAAATAATTACTGATTTTAGCGATACTTTTTATTTATTATCCTTTATAGCAATACTATGTTAAATCCGCAATATGTATTAAAAATGAATTATGTATGCAATATATATGTATTATAACTGTTTTTTAAAATATATTATGCTTGTTTGGTAAGAAATTGATACATAAAATTATAATGTATAAAAATGTGTGATAAATGTAGTATTCATCAATGAAAGTTGTATTATATGTGAATAATAAATTGTTCTTTGTAATATGTATTAAAATTGTATTATAAATGTATTAAAAGTGATCAAGTGAAAAATGTTAAGTAATTGTTATAAATAGTAAATATTTTCTTAATATAGTATATTTATGTAAGTTTCCCTTTTTTTACTAAGGTAATTTAAAATTATTGGAAAGGTAATATTTTTTTGACGGCATACTAAAAAGGACTAGCCAATTTTAAACCTTTTCCTACAAGAAAAAGGCTAGCGAATGCTAATTTTTTCTTTTTCTAAAAGGAAAGCTATTTATGGTAAGAAGTTGGGGGAAAATAGTAATACCAACACACAATTATAAAAGGCGACAACTCTCTCACTTTCCGATTTCCATACAAATTTTCTTTGTAAATCTCTCCTTTTTCCTTTTTGTGCAATGGAAGAAAGCGTAGAGTACCAAAAGAAGAGTTGGATTGCTCTAAAAAAGAGCATCAATGGACTGCTCAATAAAACGAATAAAGCCAACATAAAATACATCATTCCCGAATTATTTGGGGAGAATTTAATCCGTGGTAGGGGCTTGTTTTGCAGATCAATTTTGAAATCACAATTGAATTCTCCTATTTTCACCGATGTTTTTGCAGCATTGGTCGCTGTTATTAACACGAAATTCCCACAAGTTGGTGAACTTTTGTGTAAGAGGATCAGTCTGCAATTGCAAAGAGCTTATAACAATAATAATAAACCTCAGGTGTTAGCAACTGTAAAGTTTATTGCTCATCTTGTTAATCAGCAAGTTGTTCATGAACTTATAGCTTTGGAATTAGTTACACTTTTACTCGATAAACCTACCGATGATAGTGTTGATGTTGCTGTTGATTTCGTTAAGGAATGTGGTTCGATGCTTCAGGATCTGTGTCCCTTAGGGTTGCACGGTGTTTTTGAGCGATTTCGAGGAATACTTCATGAAGGAGAAGTAGATAAAAGGGTTCAGTTCTTAATTGAAGACCTTTTTGCATTGCGAAAACACAAGTTTCAGCCAGCTGTTCCTCCGGAACTTGACCTTGTTGAGGAGGAAGATCAAATAACACATGAAATCTCTCTTGGAGACGAGGTAGACCCGCAAATTGAATTAGATGTTTTCAAGCCGGATCTTAATTTTGTCCAAAATGAAAATAAGTATGAAGAATTACAGAAGAAGATTCTAGGAGGTGGTGATCAGGACGAAGAATCTGAGAATGAGGATGAATCAGACGACGAGGACGAGCAAGAGATGAAAATTGAAGATGAGACAGAGACAAACTTGATCAATCTTCGAAGGACGATTTACTTAACTATTATGTCAAGTGCTGATTTTGAAGAAGCAGGGCATAAGCTGTTGAAAATCAGACTAGAGTCAGGTCAGGAGATGGAGTTATGCATAATGTTATTAGAATGTTGTAGTCAGGAGAAGACTTTTCTCCATTACTATGCACTTTTGGGGCAGAGGTTATGTATGATCAACAAAGTTCACCAGAAGAATTTCGAGAACTCATTCGTGCAACAATACTCAATGATCCATCGACTTGAAACTAATAAACTGCGTAATGTAGCAAAGTTTTTTGCTCATTTACTTGGTACTGATGCATTGCCTTGGAATGTTTTGGCTTATTTAAGATTGACAGAAGAGGACACAACATCTTCTTCACGTATATTCATCAAAATCTTATTCCAGGAGTTGTCAGGGCAACTTGGCATCAATACATTGAATGGTCGTCTTAGTGATCCCTCTATGCAAGAGTCGTTTGAGTCGATATTTCCAAAGGATAGTCCCAAAAATACGAGGTTTGCTATCAACTTCTTCACATCCATTGGTCTAGGTGGGATAACTGAAAATCTGCGAAACTATCTGAAGAACATGCCAAGGCAGCAAGACAAGCGTGTTTTCAGATCAAGTGAATCAGATGATGTTCATCAAAGTAAGAGGAGGAGGAGAAGTTAGGCAGTAAATTGTAATGCTTCTTCTAATATGAGTATATGACCAAAAAGGTAGTTAGTCAATTAGAAAAATCTTTACTTTTTGGGGTTTGAGTTCTATTTTTCTCTGCTCTTGGATTCCTATTTGTACGTAGATACATGTATTGGCTGTTAATGAGCATGAGTACAACAAACATGTATTGATCCATAGTTTATAGTAAATAGCTAGCTTTAAACAAATGCCCTTAATTTTTTTTACCAAATCGCTACTCTAATTTGTCTCCCCAAGTTTAGTTGATATTGTTGTTTGTTGGTCTTCTTGTTCCGGTTACTTCTACTACTGGTATTATTTTGTCTGAATCAAGAGGTCGTTAGTTGAATGACTGAGTAATCTTAGTAATTTAGTTGGTTGGTTCCACTTTATTTGTGAGGTTCGATTCTCATAGTGTAATCCCCTCATATGTCCATATCCCCTTCCCCCACCCGGCCACCCCAATTAAAAAAAAAATCACTAGTTGAATGACTTTTTTACGTTTGTGTTAAAAGTGTTACTTTCACTCTGTGTAGGTCAATCTCTTTTGGGAAGAATATTTATGCGTTGCCCGATATGAGAGCTCTTTGACCGATTCTCCAGTTAAAATCAGGACCTCAAAATCTTTTATAGGTAGAAAGTGTTAAATAAGAATATTTTATTATTATATTTAGATATTTTAATAGAATATGATACATTCAAATATCAAAATAAAATTTACTAACAAGTTTAAGCATTTTCATATCCTAAGAATATTAGAAGGCTTCTCAAATATCAAAGATAAGTGTGCACAGACGAAAAGCAAAGCAAAACAAATACTGCTATGTACCACGCCCATTGGACTATCAAAAAACTGTTTCGATCATGATTTTTGACACAGTAGATTAACGAAAAAAAACAAAAATATCATGTTTAATTTTTTCAAAAAAATAAAATTTCTTGTCCTCTTCCAATTTGAATATACAAAAATAGTTATTCGAAATCTTGTGTTATGTTTATTGGTTTATAGGCTATGCGAACAATTTAAATATTTGCCCTATTGGACCGTAGAAAAGTTCTCCACCGACTGTCTTCTCCACCAGCTAAAGTTTAGTGATTTGTAGAGGTTGCATATATGGGCATTGACTAAAGGGGAAAAATATTACTACTAAATTAAATGTAATGGAATTAAAGGAAACTTAGGAAATACTCCTATACTAAAATATAGCCAAGTCCAGTAACTGTTATACTATTATTATGGAATTAGGTTTCATCAGGACCAACATATTACATGTCTAAGCACTAATTCAGAGCTTTATCAGGTATCTATACTCATCTCTCTACTTTTAGCACTCTTTGTGCTTTTTTCCACCCTTTCTTCAACTTTAATTAATCTTGATGACTCAAATATGAAAACGATTGGATTTTGAATTCTCTAGTCTATTTTTTTTGTTTTCCTTTTCCTTTTCTTTTGCCTTTGTGTTCTTGATGACCCAATTCCCAAATATGAAAAAGATTGGATTTTGAATACTCCAGTCTATTTTTTGTTTCTGTCGTTGTGTTCTTGATGACCCAAAACTGAGAAAGATTGGATTTTGAATACTCCAAGTCTATTTTTGTGTTCTTGATGACCCAAATGAGAAAGATTGGATTCTGTTTCTTCAGCTGACATAGTTGTGTTTATATGTGCCTTATTTTTCTTGGAATTTCAGCTGCTTTTGTTCTATTTTATCTTTCATATTTGCAGGTAAATAGGAGTATTTGTTTCCTCTGCAGTGTAAGAGCAGGGATTTGCAGTAGAAGAATCAAACTTCAATAAATTGAATAGCTAAATTGGGGCTGAAATTCGCGGTTTTACCAACTTATGCACTACCTTGGAAGTATCTGAAAGTTCTTGAGAAGGGATTATTCTGGTTTTGTGGATAAATTATTCTCCACAATGTGTTCGATTCCTGATAAAAGCATGCTACCTTCAAAATTTCTGTTCTGTCTAATAGCCATTTCTGTTTTCCTTTTGATAGTTTCTTCACTTTCCCTTTTTCAATTTGCTGACCATTCTTTTATGCCCAAATCAGTTTTTAGTTTAGTTCTTGTTAATGATACTTCAGTTTACTTGACCTCAAGTAGTGGGGAATCTAAAGATGCTTTCTTGCCTGCTGAAACTTCACATGAACAAATACTCAAAACCCAAGAGTTGGCTTATGAAACTTCCAGTTTCGGCAACGATTCCGGTGGATTAGGAATTGGGAAATCTTGTGGTCCAGAACAAGCTCTCCTTAGAGTGTATATGTATGACTTACCTCCTGTATTTCACTTTGGGCTATTAGGTTGGAAAGGAAGTAAGGATGAAACATGGCCTAGTGTTAGTAACCCGAGCCAAATACCCTCGTACCCTGGGGGCTTAAATTTACAGCACAGCATTGAATATTGGCTTACTCTTGACCTTCTATCCTCAAATACCCCAAATATTAATGGACCTTGCAATGCTGTCAGAGTATCAAATTCGAGTGAAGCAGATGTAATCTTTGTGCCCTTCTTTTCGTCGTTGAGTTACAACAGGCATTCTAAGGTACTAGGGAAGAAGAAAATCAGTCTCAATAGAGTGCTGCAGGATAAACTGGTGGAATTTTTAAAAGGTAGAGACGAGTGGAAGCAAAGGGGCGGAAAGGATCATCTGATCATAGCTCACCACCCTAATAGTATGTTGGATGCAAGAGAGAAGCTTGGTTCCGCCATGTTTGTACTTGCAGATTTTGGAAGGTATGGAGCCGAAATAGCAAACATTGAAAAGGATGTGGTTGCTCCTTACAAACATATGGTCCAGACAATAGGTGCTGACAGCTCGCCCTCATTCAGACAACGAGATACATTAGTTTACTTCCAAGGGGCAATCTTTAGAAAAGATGTAAGTCTCACAACTGCTTTTACCTGCAATTGATGAGTTAACTAAGTTTTTAATGATATTGCTATTTCCCATGATATTAAAGTTATGCTTTAATCTAACTATAAATTAACCTGCACTAGGTTGTGAGGCCCCAAGTAGTTAGTGGCAGTGATACTTGAACATGAGAGCTAGATGAAGTTTTCTCATGTCTTTGTAATGAAATGGGTCCAAATGGAAGAAGTGTGAGATTTCTATAACTGAATTCAACTAACTTGGAATTGAGGTGTAGTTGCTGTTTGTTATCGGAAGTAATTTCAACCAATGTTTGCTCACAAATAATGGTGTGAATGAATGGTACATAGTCGTTACATAGCCGCAGCCTTTTCTTTTCAGGCCATAAAATGCATATTTTTGACTGTTTTGTACTTGAAGGGATTACTGTAAACACCAGTTTAGAAGACTTATGTACATGTGTTTCTCCTAGCGGGAGCGAATTTCTTTCAACTGATATGAAGTACCGTTCAGTAAAAATCATCACAAAACGGAAGAGTCCCTTGGTTTCCACAGGTTTATTTACCCTCTTAGAAGAAGTAGAGAATTGACAAAGCCTAGCCATATTTTTCCAATACACGTAATGGTGTAGTTATAGGCAATCGTTTCAGGGTTAAAGTGGAGGATTAACTAATGGGTTGATAACCAATTAGCTCCCCTTATGGGAAGACTAGTTCTAACATCATGTTCTTGTTCCCTGTGATAGTTAATCGACTTGGGTTTTCCCTTTGTATGCTGAGCAAGTCTTTTAACCTATAGCATGCACAATTATATTCTCTGACCTGCCACCTCAAAAAAATCATTTTTCTCTGAACTGCAAGATTGGAATATAATACATGCTCATTCTGAAATAGAAGTGGAACTATTTCTTGAAGTCCCTCCATCTTTTTCTTCAATTATGGTATATCTAGTGGAATTCTGAACCTTATCCAGCATTTATAAGTTCTTCATTTAGGTATGAAAAGGACATAATAGATCCCATTTCCTTCTAAGATATCCAAAGAGAAATGTAATAGAGGAATCCCAGGTTGAGTGCGGTTGGTATTGTTACTATGGATGAAAAAGAAATGGAAAACTGAAGCTGACGAAGTGTACGATGTTTAGGATGATCTAATGGCCTAATGTTGATTGTAAAAATGTTAACTAAAAACTGAAAATTCCTTGTTTATTTCATTTGAAGCTCGAAAAGGAATATTGATTGGTATGCAGTAAGATTGAAGTGATAGATCTCTTTGTTGCTCATTTAATACCAGGGTGGAGAGATTCGTCTGGAATTATACTACCTTCTCAAAGATGAAAAAGATGTACATTTCACATTTGGAAGTATCCAATCGCATGGTGTTAGGGATGCTGGAAAAGGAATGTCCTCGTCCAAATTCTGCCTGAATATTGCTGGAGACACTCCATCTTCAAATCGTCTCTTTGATGCCATTGCTAGGCACTGTGTTCCGGTAATAATTAGCGATGATATTGAGCTTCCATTCGAAGATGTTCTTGATTACTCGGAGTTTTGTGTGTTTGTCCATTCATCTGATGCTGTAAAGAAGGGGTACCTTCTGAACTATCTTAGAGGAATGAAGGAAGATCAGTGGACCAAAATGTGGGAAAGGCTAAAGGTGGTCAGCAAACATTTTGAATATCAATCTCCATCCCAAACTAATGATGCAGTGGATATGATTTGGCAGGCAGTTTCAAGGAAGGTGTCACATATACAGCTGAAGGATCACCGTAACAACAGATTCCACAGGTCACAGCATTCGTGATTATTTATGTGAAATTTGAATCAATCATCCTGTACTTCTAGGAGATCAGATGCCAGATTGAGCTGGATTCTCTTATCTTACGGTATGAAAATGTTTTTGCTGTAACCAATTTTCAAAACAATTTGTAAATTCTTTTCATTTATGATTGCAAACACCACTCTCCTGCCTTATAACTAGGGTTCTTTTTAACCACCAGGATTTATCACTGACATAAATGGAATTGTATAACACAAATGACAAAGCATGATACTCTGTTCAACTAACGTGTACAGTAAAAGAAAACTATTAAGAGGAAGTCTTGAGTCAGAAGATTGCAGTCAACAGCGAGAAAATTTCATTTCATCGTACATGCAACAAGTACTGGTGTTCAAAGATAACATGCTATCTATATGATCAGAAAATATCAAAACAAATCTTTTGTGTATGACAACGAGCATTAAAATCCTAGTTTCTTTCTGTGGTTCTAGCTTTACATAACACATGAAGTTGCTGCTTTCAGTAAAGACTGCTATACTCAAACAAATGATAGTGATCAGTGTCACAAACCTAATAAAAGCGTCTGAGGATACAGAATTTCCCACCATCCTCAAGTTTCTCTTAGAAAAATGCAAAAGAAAGCAGCTGTTTTTCCCTGTCTTCATGAATCTTGAAACGGTCATCCCTGCACACTTGCTTTGGACTCACCGTCAACATTTATTATGGATTGGATCTGATCCTCTTTTCACTCTTCTTTTGTTTGATTGATTTGGATCAAAGGTCATCGAAGGTGCAGGTGCTATATTGAGCTGTGTTTGCAGGTCCTGCACGACAGCAGCCTTTAGAATCCGAGAACTTCTCAGATGAAATAAGTTGTCTTCTCCCCATCTGAGAGCAAGATCTATACTTCTCAGAGCAGAAACTCTCTCTGGCTGAGTTGACAAGAACCCGATACAAAGAATTAAGACCATCACCCTACAGGAAGGACACAACATTTTTCTGAACTTGGTTCCAACAGAAGGAACAAAAGTGTTTTCTTGGCCAAGACTATGATGAGAAAATGAGAGATTTGTCTGTGGCTATACTTTGCATATCCAACACCAAGTGCCTGTACATATAAACTTGTGTTTCATCTTTTATGGGATTTGCAAGAATAAAGTTAACAGTAAAGCAAGGGAGGGTCCCAAGACAAACCATCTATAGAAGTTTAAGATTCACTTCAATCATAAGCCTGCCAAATGCTGCAAGCAATATAAGGCTGTTGTACAAGACACTGACAGGTTTGAATAAAAGTGAAGTTGGAACACCATTCTTTGGGCCAAGAATCTATACATTTGTTCCCTACATCCCTTTCATTCTTTGCCCTTTTGGACCAAATAATGACCAGACCAGTGGTCTTATTGAACTTTATTCCAACTCAGCTGCCAAGTCATCTAATTATAATCACCTGTTTTTTAACCTCACGGAATTGATATTGGCTTTGTTTTACAACAGTTTTTATCACATCTGTTACAAGAATAAATGACTAATTTCGTGTATGATCACTGAACTTTATTCACTTCAATACAACTTCCCTCATTCAGGGAGAAGTTAATTAAATGAGGAGGCCAAAGCTGAGATTGCAACAGTTGCAAGAAAGCCAGATAAAGTAGAGAGTATTGGAGAATGTGAAGAATAGAAGCCTCTTGGAAAAATATAAATCCAAGGAGTTGCTTTATGCCAAATTTCTACTTTAGATTCTACAATTCCAATCTAAAAAAACAAAAATGGCAGTCTTGGTTCCTTGTGCTTAATGAGTTTCCCTTTATGCTTTTCTTTGCTCTCATCTTTAATTTTAGATTTGTGCAAATTTCCCTCCATTCAAAATTCTTGGACCTTGTCAAGCATATTACTCTTTCCTTCTTTATTTTTCTTGCTTACCCATGTGGACCATCTTCTTCTTCTTCTTTTTTCACTTTTTCTTTTTCCTTTTTCTTATTCTCAGATTCAGAATTTGTTCCTCTTCATCTTGCCCGTTGGTATGTGTTGTCTCAATCCCATGAAAGAATTGTTCCTCGCATAATAACAAGGTTCTCTCCAACTTCAGAAAACAGGAAAATTATTTCATAAGATAAATATGATCAAGGGAACAATCTTACATCAGCGTAGAAATAAGTAGCTGTAAGAACTGAGATATACAACAGAAAAATTAGTGTAATCCCACAATTGGGGACTGGAGAGGGTCGTGTGCACAAAGCCTCACCCATGGCTTGCGAGGGTAGCTGAGATATACAACGCTAAATTTATAGACATTAACCAGCAGGTATATAAACAAAAGAGATCCAGCTCAAATTAGAGATACCAGCAAAGTGCCCAAACATTACTTAATCATAGCAAGCAATGTAAAACTAAATGAAGTGGGATGGAGCAGTAAACCATATCGATAAGAATAAACAATGTACATGATGTGAAGATATGGTATCTTCAAATTCAAAGCAGATAAGTTGGCTGCTATGGTTTTTTTACATGTTCAAGCATTAATGTAAATATTGAACAAAAGGGAACAATTTCAGCCTCTGCATCACTCCAGGGCTAAGATATACAACTAATACATCGAAAGGAAAAAAAGAACCTCTATTCTCTTAGCTTGTGCAACTTACAAAGTACGGTGCCATTATCAGCAACAACGTTTTAACATGCCAGCTGAGCAAAGCCATTTATACTAGCTCCGGAGGAGGAGCTGTGACCTGGCCAGTTGGTGTTGCAACATGGGTAGTTGGGTTTGCTGAAGGTTCTGCTGCCTGTGCAGGTCCTGGTGCTATTGTTACATGCAAGCCCCTATGTTGCCCTGCTTGCAGCATGAAAGCAACTTCTGCTGCCGCTAGTGCTGCTGCCTCCTGTGTTGAAGAAAAGACGAAGAATAAACATCCAAAAAAATAGCAATCGGCATAAAATTATATATTAAAAAAATGGATGAGTAAACTACATGAGATAGAATGAATTTATTTAGTCTGTTTTGATGGATGAAAAAAGCAACTTTCGGTGCATGCCAAACTGAATGACGGAGTTCAAAGTAGGAGGATCGAAGTATATAATTTTCGGTGTGGTTCAGACAAGTATTAATTTATTTTAACATATACTTAGAGACTACAAAAAAAGTAATAGATCACAATTTTTTAAAGATGTTTGAAAAAACATAGTCAAAGAAATAGCTGCTTGATTTCCCAAATAGTCCGAATTTGGTATAAAATGGAAATGAAAAAGTTATAGTAGTTGTTTCTTTTTTCACTTGTTTATCAAAGTTAAATTTATTTGGGCAAGCAAAATTAGCACGCCATTAACTCCCACAGCTAGAGCAAGTAGAGATAATTTTAAGAGTTCAATGTGCCCTTAAATATCCTACTTGGTTCTCATGATAAAATCACATAAGTTCCAACATGTTACATAATTCAAATCTACTTAATGTGTGTACAAAGTGCTGACATCTATCAGCAGAACGTAAAATTTTACAACTGGAAGTGACAGTGGTGGGCACTATCACACTGGACATATAAACCAATTATCTATTGCGACTTGCATCATATTCAACATGAAAGCAAAAGGTGGGATGCAAAGTATAAACCAGGAAAATAGAGATAAGACCATCAAATGAACTTGGAATTGTTTGGAAGTTGGGAAGCGTAACAGAGAACAAACTTATTGGAAAAAGCACAAATAACAAATGAGGTATTTCATCCCTTACAAGAGGAATTCTTCAGTGACCAGATGTTTTAGCCAGGAGTCTTAAAACAAATATCCTTGCATGAGGTATTTCATTCATGCAGGGTGAACACGACATGACTTCTCCATGTTTAGCGAGAACACCCTGTATTGATGTATTAACTATGACTAGGATTGAAGGTCTTGAATGTTTCTGAAATAGAGTACACTGAGTTCCCATAAACTAGAGCAAAGATCTTATTCGCTCAATTTATTATATACATGTGCATTGATGCAGCATTAGTCAACCATTACGACTAAACAAATAATTATCTGATCTGCACCACAAGGATTTTAATTTTTGTATTTTTGCAAAAGTGCAAAGTAATCATCAAATTAGCAAGTAAGAAGATTGACACGTTAATAGCAATTTACATATTATGAAAAACAATTGAAATCTATACAAGGCTCTAACCTGTCTTTGCCTTCGACGCTGCATGATACTGATAGCCCAAGCCATGATGTAGCAAGGTAGAAGAAAACCAGCAGCACGGAGTAAGAAAAGCTGTGTCAAGGAATCAACCAGATCAGTGATCCCACACAATCTCATGTATCATAGCCTCATCATATCAAGCAACAAACGGAAAGATGATTTCACTGTACGATTCACTCACCGAGAAAAAGGCAGAAACATCATCATCATCCCCATCACCATTTCCGATGGTCACAGCATGCCTCAATAATAAAAGGGCCATTAACTGCAGGAACACAGTGCATTATTCTTTGTTTATCTAGAAACAGAGATAAGGTCAAAATATAACATAAATAGATTGCATGGGCAAAAAGTAAAGGTTAATATTGAAAGGAAAATTTCCCCCCAGTTTTTCTATTATTGCTACTGGGAATTTTTTTAACAAATTTAGACAATAAAGTGAAGGTCATTTATGATCCATTCAACCAGCCGGAAAGGACAAAAAGGCAATACAAACAAGGAAGGGAATATAAGCAGATAAAAGGAGAATAAAAGCATGAACTGTAGTGTGAGACCCTACCTTCTCAAATAAAAAAGCATGACCTTGAAAACCCTCTCTAGTACTAGTGATGCAGTTTCAAGAACTTGAAGGGAAAACTATTGTAGCATGAACATGAAAATATACATAATATAAGGTAGGATGAGTTTGTTTGTGTGGTTGTGTTGCTTTTTTTCCCAGTAATGGAAGGGCGCAGTTGATATGATTTCCATTTTGAGCATTCCTAAAGTATGACTCCTAAGAAAGGAAAACTCTCATTTTAAAAGAAGGGAGTGTCACAAATCAAAGATAGTTGTGCCCAAAAAAATTGTATCACCACTTCTCTCAATGAAATATGAACTCTCAAGTTTCTTCTCAAGTCACTACTTAAAGATGAAAATTTATGTACCGTATGGTCAAAGGCTAAACCGCGCCTCCACCCAAATAGAAAGAATGTTGAATCTGCTGGTGCATTATCTTCCATAAGAAAAATTTACTAATGCATACCTCACATTACCACTGGCCTGCATTTAACAAAATGATTTTAGCAACATTAAGGAATAGCAGTTGCTTACAATTAAAGCAGCAGAACGGCAAAATGCAGCTCCACTAGCACTTGAATCAGCATATTCATCATAGTCAGCCTCCAAGAGATGGCGTTCTGCAGCTGCCATTGCAAGAAGCCGAGGATCATGTAAGTTGAGCTGAGTACCAGCTACTGTCCAGCCCCCACTGCAAGCCAATCCATGTGGACGAATCCATCAGTGACAGAGAAGAGAAGACAGAAAAGAAAATTTTCAAGATTAAGATTGTGAGATGACATGCTGATCATGTTGGATTGTTCTCAATAAAGATGTTAACAGCTAAGCTGGCAAGGTTACGTTAGATTATAAATCAAAATTTCGGCAGCAAGGGCCTCTATGTATATACTGTAAAAACTTAAAACTGAACTGCCTCATAATATAATAAGTTAAACATGTTTTAAGTACTTTCAAAAGAGGGAGGAAAGGTCTTTATGGCAATTTAGTTTGTCATATACTGTTCTTGTTGGGCCAAGAAAAATAATTTCATGTCAATGATGCTGGAATTTCACTTCTTTTTTTTTTGAGATGGTGACATATTCCTGTGTATATATAGACATCAGCAAAAAAATGTACTGGTAACCAAAGTGGAGTGACTACATCCGATCACCAAAAAGAGAAGGGAAACAAAAACCTTGCTCATCTTACAAAGAGCCTAACACATCTATGATTGCCTCAGGATCATCTATATATTCAGATTTGCACCAAAACCTAAAATGATGAATACAATTTATCTTAAACTTCTATAAATGCTACTTGTATCACTTTAGCTACAAACATAGATAATCATATAGATACTTGATATCAAAGAACAACAAACTGAACCGGGAATCGGAATCATCACTAGATATTGAACATATTGGTAATGCAGAGTTCATGGTCATAGACCACGGATAAGGATTTGACTCAGTTTTCAAGCATACAATTAAATTCCTTTTTTTTTTTTTGGCTGAAAGCATGAAGTACAGTTGAGCTTCTTAACGACTTCTTGAGTTGCACAGTACATTGACCTATTCTTGCGTTCATGAAGAAAACGCAAGTTCACTTGCTAATTAGTTCAGAAAGAAATAGACTATTTAGAGGCCTCTAAATAAGCGGAGCAATTCATAAAGAAGATACACATAATCAAGTCAAAGAGAAAGGTGTGAAGACGGTAAGATCGTCCATTCTGTGGTCTATTTCCTCTCTTTTCATTTCTTTTTCTTTTCTTTTTTAGGATATTGGGGGCAGTGGAATATAGAAAAGATTCAGATAAAACATACTTGGAAAGTAAACACCAAAATCAGAATATTAATATATCTGCTCCATAGATTGTGGAAATGCTTGGATAAATATATCAAATTTTGGTATGCACAAGACAATAATCATTATTTCAACCAACCTCATGTCAATGGCAATATCTTCGGAGAGAGAAGGCGGTGGAGGAGCAGTATAGCCAGGTTGGTAAGGCTGCATGTTATAGAGTTCTCAAAGTCAACATATAACTTTTTTTACGAAATAAGTGAGCCTTAACTAGAAACTCTTTTAGCATGTATCCATTAACATAGTCTAAAGTCCCAATTACTTGTATTTCTGAACAGAAAAAATGCATCAACTAATTACTGCATAAGGTGAGTTATCATTCTGTCCAAATCAAATAAACTCTGTGCCTATGCAAAACCATGCTATTTCTATATCCCTCCTTCCATTGCTCTTTTCAAGCTCATTTGGCTGTAAGTTCCTTAGTGATGGGGAGAGGCAAATCATGAAGCATCATCACTCAAAATGCAAATAGGTATTAACAGATAGAAGAAAGTACCTGATGGCAAATCTCGCAAATTATATCACCCTTCTCATTGCACCACCGCTGAACGCATTTCCTATGAGCATACTGAATTTTGTAACAAAGACGCAAGAAAAGAAAAAAGAGAGAATAGTTAGAACAAAAGACAAGTCCACACACATTAAAAGACCTTTGTCATGCAGTTGCAGCACAGACATAATCAGTAGAATCATTCTTCAGCTTTCTAGCAGCTAAAATCAGTAAACCAGACCACCCTTAACACAAACAAATCAAAATAGTGAATGTGACACTTCGCTAAGATGAAAGCCATGAATGATAAATCATGAAAATGTCAACTTCTTGAGAAGAGAAACTTGAATACTAGCACCATTCAGACTTAGGGGAAAAAAGATGGCATTACGGATACATATTTATTAAATGCACAAGCAATATTTAGCAGCTACTTGAATAAGAGAGAGAAAATTAAGCTTCACAAATCTACCTTTAAGCTGCCATTGCAGCTACAAGGAATCTCCAAATTCTTCGGGCTATCTTCTTCCTGGCAAATTCGGCATTCCACAGTCTGAAGTAATGGCTCATCTTCACCCCCAGCTTCTGGCTCTTCATCCTCCTTATTAGCAGTGCCATAGGAAGATTGATCTGCTGGGTGAGAGCAAGAATTCCCCCCAGAGGTTCCTGCATTCTCTGACCCTTGCATAGTGTGCAAAGATTCAGGTGTGATAAGACGATCAACACACAGAGCCAAGTGTTCTCCCATTAGCAGTTCACCCACGTATCCTAAAATGAACAAACATGGTCAGCCGTCTTAAGTAACAAGCAAAGAAAGGAATTAGTTAAACCTTCATATATCCAAGTGCAAGGTTGTGACCCTTTCTCTATCACACAAGAGAACCAGTTCACAAAAAGCATAAAAAGCCTAAGATTTACTTCCCTCCAAGCTTCTCCTCACAAGGTTTAGCCTTTTGTCCATTAGTATAAAAACCCAAGTTCCATATTTACTTGACAAAGAAATAGGAGAAACCCAACAAAAACACAAGTACAATCAACTAAGAACTAGCAACTAATCTTTTCTTGATTTTCACTTTTCTTTTTCCCTGTAATAGAGTTGAACTCTTCAACACAAAGTGAATGATTGTTGCTACAAACTGATACCATATACCCTTGTTGACTTTTTACAAGACAAACGAAATACCCAATTGGAAAAACTAAAGAAAAATGCATTTGAAAAACATCCGATTCTTGACATTCCATTTTCCTCTTACCAACACGAAATATACTGGGTAAAAAAATTTAAACAGGACCAAGCTTTGAAGATCAAAGCATAATCACATAATAGAAACAAGAACCCAAAAACTCACCGCAACGAAAAATCTTGAACCCGGAACAAGAAAAATAACAATCTGGTAAAAAAAATAGAGGAATGATGAAAAATTGGCGTACCTGAAAATGCAAATTTTGTTGATAGATTTTGGTTTTCTGAGAATTTGTATGAGTAGTTTCCTGTTTCTTTCTTGAGAGAAGAAGAAGAAATAGTTGTAAGAAGTCTTCGGTTTGGGCCTTTTTGATTATCAGGTAATGTATACAAGTCTTCTCTTTGGATTATATCGACATTAATTGCGGGACCGCTAAAGCATATGACGGCGTCGTTTATGGAAGTCCCCATATCACTTCTTTAAAAGCCGGCATACGAGAAATTACTCAACTTTACTAAATATTAGAATAGAAAAAAAAAATAACAATAGCAAAATAATACAATAAATAAAACAAACTAAGTAATCAATAATAATAAAATTAAAAAAATAATATATTATGAAATTAATAGATAAAAAGTAATAAAAATTATACGTATGAATTAAATAAGAGTATGAGTATAAATCTTTAGAAAAGTTCGAAAACATTGAGTTAACAAGTCGAATATCTTTTTTATCTTTGAAAAAGGGAAGTTTTGTCTTTAGAAAAATTTCACTTTTCTTTTTCTTCCTCACACTACATTTTATAAGAATGAAGCTAATGTTTTCAGTTTACCACCTTAAACGGTCTCAAATTTTGGTGAATTTAAATATTTTGAAATTCTAATTTGACAATTCCTGAAATTTTATGTTCTTATATCAACTATGATTTTGAAACAGTTCAAACCTCAAACATCCCAGAAAAGAACATTTATATCTTCTTTTGTGGTTTTGAGATTTTTAATTGTCTAGATTTTAAATATATTCGATAAAAATGAAACAATATAGAATATATTTAGTAGCGTTTATGCAATGTAATTTTATTTTCTTTTCTCTTATTTATATATTTATCAATCAATGAGAAAGTTATGTATCTTCGATTTTGATAATAAGATTTGCAATAGTCATAAAAGAGAACAAGATAACTTAATGTTAGACTCAAAACTCAAAATGAACATTCGGGAAGAAATCATTACTAAGAAAAAAATCTATACAATATGTGTATAGTGTCTCTATTTTTTGGTAGTATATAACTTTTTATCAATAATAATTAAATTATATATGTAATATTTACTAAACAAAGACATATTCCTTCCAAGAAGCAGCGTAAGAAGCACTCAGAGAAAACTTGGACATCGTCAATTATTTGACTTTTGAACAAATTTAGTTTTATAAATTTCATAGACCAAATTAAACATGACGACTGTACAAATAAATTAATTAACAAAATTACCTAACTATTTTCACGCGCAAAGCCACACTATTTGTCCACGTTCGTACGAAACGGTCATTAGAAAAAAATTCATCATGATGAAAAGAAAAGGATACCAAAAGTGTGAGTACTTTTGTATTTTAAACTATGATGTGATATAATGACTTTAATGTAAAAGAGATAAGTCATGATTCAAATGAGTTTTAATTAGAAGAGCTAAAGATAATGGACATTATATTTCTTTCTAGAAGACACGTGTTATAGGTAATAGGCAGGTTAAAAATAAGAAATATCTTAGTATAAGATATTTTCTTTCTAATTTCCCCAAATATATCCTAATCCACTTTGAAAGGATTATGGGGTTGGGGTGGGGATTGTGAAAAAAGGAAATATGACATGAAACAATACCTAATACCTAAAAAGCATGTGCATATGTTTATTAGTAGAGTTTGTCATTAACACTAATTAATTCTCACATTAATGAATATTTATACAAAAAAAAAATGTGAGAATAATTATTCAACGCCAACGTTATAAAATAAAATAGGACAATTTTATGCCAATGAAATCTCCTTTTTTTGGAAGGCCCGGGGGAAGAGGACATGAGAATGGGGAACCAGACTCTTACATACAAGATGAAAGTTTAAATGGTCAATCAATTGAGCTACTAAGATTTTGCGCTAATTAAATCTCAGAGATGATGCTTGGTAGTTGGTGCCATTTATCTCTATAGATTCTTTTGCAAATGGATCCCTTTTTGAATATGAATGTTTACAATGAGTTTTAAGTTGATATATCCCAACCTTTTAAGTTTTAACCCAATTAGAAATATGATGGGCCAAAGGCCCACTTTTTTCATTGATTAGTGCAGAATAGTTTTGAAATGTAGACTAAAACTTAACTAGTGGCTATTTGTCAAATTCTTCCGCAGCTTGCAAACTATCCTAATCCTACTGATTACAGTTTTTAAACTCTAAAGCTACGAATAGGGTTCTTTTTCCGAAAATTAAAGTTGGCAGTTCTCAGTAATGGCGGAAACTGAACCTGTAACCAACGAAGCCCTAGGAATGGCCGAGAAGGAAGAAACCTCCGTTCAGAAAATGGACGTTGAAGTTCCAGCCACCGATGATGCTAACGGCGGCTCGAAGCGTCCAAGGGAGGAGGGAGACAAGCCGGAGGATGAAGAGAATGGAGACGATACGAAGAAACCAAGAGTCGACCAGTCTGCGGAAGAGGAAAAGAAAGATGTGTCTATCCCGGTTAGCGTGGGGTCTAAGAGTTTCGTTTCCTCCGTGGAGATGTTTGATTACTTTCACAAACTCCTTCATTCCTGGTCTGTCAATCTCAATCTCAACAAGGTAAAATATCATTCAATGTCTCCATTACTGTGCGAAGCAAGAGTTAGTTTTTACCCTGCTGGCTTAATTGTTATACTCTGGCATATTAAAGAAATTTGGGGCATTTTGAGTGGGCAATTTAAAAACATTTTACATTTAATATTCTGAATGTCCATTTCGTTGAAGCATCAACTTGCATTATATCATACTTATATGGATGTCAAATTGCTGTCTGTTCTTCGCATCAAGAAATAATTTTCAAGTGGCTATTGACTCATGTATGACTTAGATACTTATAATTGCCTTCCAAAAGTTGCCTTTAAGTCTAAAACTTAACAACTCGAGGTATTTGATTGTACATCCTTTCCTTTCTTGGATATGTGTATTTTGACAACAAACATCTACGAATAAGTATGAGTGTTAATTGGATAATCTTTTGGTATATGTTATTCAATTTGGACTTATTTGGTTACACTAGGGATGATACTCTGTTTTATTTTGTTTTTGATTGGAATTAATAAATGTTTTCCCTTTATATTTATTATCAGTATCCTCTCTTTCTTCTTATCCTACATTCATTTTCCTCAAAGCTTGTCGTTTAGGCTCCAAATTTAAATTCATTGTGCTTTCTTGTCTGTTGGTCTGTTTGAACTTTTGTGGGGTTCAACTAGCATCTTTGTGGAGATTGTATTTTCTACTCAATCTCATTTTTAGTGCAAAAGATGTCCAAATACTTGTGAAGCAGAGTATATGGTTTGTCTTGGTCATAACCTTACTTTACCTTAGAGAGGAGTTATTACTACATAAGAATGTTGATTCTCTGATTCATTTCCGCATAAAATCTCTGTGTTGGAGATATTTTGGTATACTACACTTATCTGAGTGTTTGATGTGATGATCTTAATCACTTAGTTTGGTATTGCAGTATGAGCACATGGTGTTGCTTGACTTACTGAAGAAGGGTCATTCAGAACCAGAAAGGAAGATTGGTACAGGAGTTTGTGCTTTCCAAATCCGATTTCATCCACATTTCAAGAGTCGCTGTTTCTTTGTTGTTAGGGAGGACGATACTGTGGATGATTTTAGTTTTAGGAAGTGTGTTGATCAGATACAACCCCTTCCAGCGAACATGCAAACAAAACAACATGCTAATGGTGGAAAAGGGGGAGGAAGAGGAGGTGGATATGGACGTGGCCGTGGAAGAGGAGGGAGGTCAAGATACTGAAACAGTTGACAGTAGATTGCCAATTTATTCGTATCAGTCTTTTTAAGTCCTGTTTAATCCAAATATTGGTCATTTAAATACATTATTCCATAATGTTTTTGCTGCCTCATCCATTATCTCACCAAGACCTTGTTAATTTGTTGAAAATGTCTGGGAAGCCTTCTTGCTTGTCTGATATATTGAGTTTTGACCCATGAAGCCTTCATCGTTGTTTGATTCAGAATAAGATTATCTCAGGAAAATGCAATCACTTATCATATGTATGTTTAGTGAATCAATACAAGTAAAACTTAATTAAAAAACGTATCTAATGGAAAGGGAAAAAAGAACTCGTCCCAACGCAACACTTTTTTGTTGGGCGTGGCCTGAAAAGTGAAAAGAAGCAAATATCCAGGGAAATAATTACTGCCATAGATCAGTAACCTCCACTCTTAGGTACTGCTTGTTGTAATTAGTATAACTAATCAATGCTACAATAAGTAGCAGTAGCCCACCACTACTGGATCTTATCATTTGGGTTAAAGTAGAATAATAAATTCGAACTTCCCTAGAGGTTATAATATGATACAGTACTTAATAAATTTTATCGTAACTTCCTTAAACGTTATAATATGATCTTAAATGAAACGAATGATGCAACATTAATTCTCTTATTTTATGATATGAGTATGAATGATTGCTACGTTATATTATGAGTCTGCTTTCAGTATACTCCTAACACATATTGCTAAAAAATAAAATTTCACTAATCTATATAAATAAAATGAAACCAAATAAAAGGGAAAGAGAAAAATAAGGAAAACAATGACCTTTTTTTTCTTCTTTTTAGGCAGATTCTGAGCTTAAATTTGAAGCAGGAGCAAAATATTACTGCACACTAATGTTAATTACGTATAAATCAAAAGCAAACTCTTAATAATTATATTGGGGGGAATGTGCTTCAATCATCTTGGTCATCTAACCCTGATGTTTACTCTACATTAGAGTATTAATTTATCATAATAAATAATTACATGAGGTACAAATATATAGAATGTATTTATTAGTACTCTACGTTAGAGTATTACTAATATCATATTTTGCCATCAATCTACCCCCAAAAAAGTGCATGGTAACAACTAGATAGGTACTTAATAAAATTTGGCATGCACTCCCTTATCAATTGTCCATATTAATGTATAAAAAAATATCTCAGATTATTTGTCAATTTACAAAAATAAGAGAAAATTAATTAAATTTTCTCCATTTTCCCTTTATTTACTATTAATTCTTTTTAAAAGTGCACGTGAACAAGTCTTAAAGTTTCAAAAAGGAGTTTAAAGGTATAAATTAGTAAAACTATTCTTCTCATTTTCGATTTCTTAAGGATATAAAGGAAAAAATAGAGAACTAATATGAGACGGGTTGAATAGCAGCAACCAACAATACAACTCTCCCTTCAAAGTTGGAGTAAAGTAATTAACAGAGAATTAGACTTCCTAGTCCCTATGGAATGGAAAGTTCCCATATCTAATGTTATTTTTCTAATATCGACAGAACTACTATTAAGCTTTCTGTTACATCGATCACAACTCTTTGTATAATGTTTTCAAGGTTCTTTTATTTAATTTTCGACATGAAAATGTAAAACAACAATTATACTGTATCCTTTAATGAAAATGGAGGATCAAATTCCAAAAAGAAATCATAATTACAAGTTTTTATCACAGGTGTACGTGGGCACAAAACGCACCAATCAATACTAATGTTGATGAATATAATTAATTAATGCTAAACATGCATGCATAACGACGGCGCACGATTTCCAACACTAATTAATACTAATAATTACTTTCACATAGTTTCACTTATAATCCCTGCCTTATCTTCTCCCTTTCCCTCCTCTAAAATAAAAATAAAAATAAACGCCTATTTCATTTTTTAATCTTCTTATAAGCATAATATAATTTCATCTGGATCCATGCCAAATATGGATAGTGATCAATCAAACTATGAAGTCATCATGAGAAAGCAAGATAATCATCAAGACTTATTATCCCTTCCAACACAACTCCCTTCTCTCGATGATTTCAGGTGATTCATTATAATTTTATCTACTTCAAGAAATTATGTTTTCTCCTTTATTCCATGTGTCGGAAATAGTCTCTCTACTTCAAAGAGGTAGTGGTAAGACCTACGAAGACTTTACTCATTTTAATGGATATATATGTTGTTGTTATTCGATGTATGGTCATATATATTAATATGTTATGTTTCAAAACAGCGAATTTTCAGGAAACTATGCTATCGACTATCAATATGATTTGTCTATTCAAGAGAATACTGCTAATACCAATCCTTTGATGGAAATGGAATGTACTCTCGAAGATCCATTTTATTCATCTTTTTATAGTCTTATCCCAGGTGATGGTCATGTTTTGTACTATAGTATTATTATTTTTTATAAAAAAATTATTGACTAGTAATTTTTTTTATGGGTGCAGGAGAGTTATGCTATGAGGAAATTGGAAATGAAGTTAGAATGTTGAATGAAATGAGTGGTGAATTAATCGGAAATGGGAACCAACAAGTGTTGTTATGTGATAACATTAATCAACAAGAGATAATGGCTAATGATCGTGTTCATGAGGAAATTATTGTAACGGAAAAAGAGAAGGATAATAGTAGAGAGGAGATTAATAGTTCAAGAATGTTGTCACGAGATGCAATTTCAAAGTATTTTTACATGCCAATTACTCGAGCAGCAAAGGAGCTCAATATTGGGTTGACACTTTTGAAGAAAAGATGTAGGGATTTAGGAATTAGAAGGTGGCCTCACAGGAAGTTGATGAGTCTTCAAACATTAATCAAGAATGTTAAGGTTAATTCACTCTCTTTTATATACACTTCTTTCAATTGTATGTAGTAATATTATACGCTGATGGCCTAAGTTGCACGGAATACTCTCACTTTTAATGTCGTACTCCTATCAAATTTTCTGAAAAATACATTATATTTGATGTATTTCACATGCAGTATTTTAAAAGAGTCTAAACAATATAGTTGATGGCCAAAAATTTCATCTTTTCTTCTAGTATACATACAGTTTAGTTTGTGAAAATATTTTCTTTCGACTTCGTCTAAAAAAAGTATGTTAAGGTTTAAATACTCTCTATATAAACATGTTCTCTTGTTTCACTATGTAGTATTATGCTGAGGGCAAAAAAGTTCATTTCTTGTAGTATTTTTAATAATTTATTTTTTTGCTACATATGTTACAATGATTTTTATCGATGAATTTAACTAATATTGTAGACAATAATTTTTACGTTATTAAGTGATATTTACTTCATGTAACAAGTAATTTTTCTTATTCAAGATTAGAAGCTTTATATTTTATAGTGTTATATGTAAATATTTTTTGAATGATTTGATAGTTTTATAAAGAATTACCTATAAATATTTGTTCTTATAAAAGTAATAGTGTAAAAATTTTGGTATACTGATAGCATATAGAAGTTAAAACTCTATTATATATGACGAAGCAATATTTATAGGAATTGGAGAAGGTAGGAGGAAATGGTATGGAACAAAAGTTGAAGGATGTGATAAAGCTATTAGAGAAAGAGAAGAGGAAGATGGAAGAAATACCAGACATGGAACTTGAGGAGAAAACAAAGAGGTTAAGGCAAGCTTGCTTTAAGGCTAACTACAAGAGGAGAAGACTGATGTGTATGCCAGAATTACAGGCTTCTTTTGGTAGTTATTGCACTACTTCTACTCCTTCTGCTGATGATAATGTTGCTTATGGTGAAGAAGATGATGAAGAGATTAAGTCTCTTCTTGCTGATTGTTTCTCTAACAATAGTCCAACCTTGCATGACTGAACTTTTCATTTGTGTTTTTTTCTTCTTCTATGTTATTATATATTAGCTTAGAAGGATGTTAGGCACAATATTAAAGTTATTTCAGTGTGATTGTTCAGATCTTGAGATCAATTACTAATGTTTGTGCCGATAAAAATTGCCTATATCACATCCATTTTAGATGTAATTCTTCTTTAAATCATGTGTGTAAGTGCTTGTTGCAGGAAATTAGTTTAGAATTTCATGAATTGTGACAGGTTAGTTAACAGGAAAATGGATAAAAAATGTTCTTTTAACATAGCAAGTAGTTGGGTGTGTGCGCGGGCGACTCTTCATGTTTTCATAATGGGTTTTGGTATATTTGATAAGTACATAAAAAGGGTGTAACCGATAAGGGATTAATAAAATTACGATAAATAAATTAAAGTATAGTAACCTTATGTATATATGGAGTGACTCACATCAATCATATTTTAATTTCACACTATATGTAACACCTTACGACTAATAATTACAAAATATACTAACATCATGTATATATATGGAATGACTCGCATCAATCATATTTCACACCATATATCACACCTTACGACTAATAATTAATTGGATACGACAGATGGAATCCACTGCTTAAAAAACGCACAAAGGCCTTCGAGAGCTACAATGAACAATATATTAGAGAAACAAGGTTTACATATTATTTATTCTTGTTTGTATTTGTTATCTTCAATTGATATTTAAGTGAAAGAGTTTAATTATATGTTACAGTAGTAAAAACAGTTGCTCCATTGATTAAATAATGTCACCTATACGTGCTGAAATTCGATCTGTATTTTTTACCAAAAATAATGATAAAGTTATTCAACGCATTCTGTATCTGAAAAGGGGCGGAATAGGCACTATATTGGGTGGTGCTCCCAATAATATTTTCTCCATATCCAGATTCGAACCGAGACAGGTGAACAACCATGTTGTTAAATTCCGCCACACTTGCAACAACACATTGTTTACCAGTTTGAGCGATGTCACCCATAACAAATTAGAGAATGAGAGCAATTTCTCCTCAACGTTTTTCTGTATCCGCCTTCCGTCGGCTGTCTTCACATGCGGCGGCGCGTGTAGACAACCACCGTCAATGCATTACCGGACCCACAAATCATACCAGTCACTTGCATACCGAGAAAACCGAACCTTTGATTTCGCTTATCAAGTCAACTTCTAGTAAGCCCCATTTGCTACAAATCCACGCCCATCTGATCCGCAACTCTCTCTTTCAACATCCAATTTTTTTCTCACCTTTCTTATTTGGTATTGCTCTTCATCCATTGCATGATTTGGGTTATGCTTGTCGGGTTTTTTCAAAATTTAGTAAACCCGATGTTTTCCAGTACAACATCATGATTAGAGCTTACGGAATGAGTGATTCACCGGGAAATGGTTTTATGTTGTATCAAGAAATGCTAAGGTCAGGTGTGTCACCGAATTCTCTAACATCTTCATTCGTTACAAATTGTTGTATAAAGAGTGGGTCTTTATTTGGTGGGCTACAGATTCATGCTCGAATTTTGAGAGATGGGCATCAATCTGATGGACGACTGCTGACCACATTGATGGATTTTTATTCATCTAATGAGAGGTATACCGAAGCTTGCAAAGTGTTCGATGAAATGTCTCATAGAGATACAATAGCTTGGAATGTGTTGATTTCTGTATACATGCGTAACCGACGAACTCGGGATGTTTTGGGTGTATTTGATATGATGCAGAGCTCGTATGATTGCCAGCCTGACAATGTTACTTGTTTGATGTTACTTCAGGCTTGTGCAAATTTGAATGCATTGGCATTTGGTGAGAGAGTTCATAGATATTGCGAAGAACATGGTTTTGACAAGGCAATGAATATCTGTAATGCACTTATAACTATGTACTCTCGGTGTGGTTGCCTCGAAAAGGCTTTTGAGGTGTTTAAGGGAATGACCGAGAAAGATGTGGTGTCTTGGACTGCCATGATATCGGGGTTGGCTAGCAATGGTTATGGCAGAGATGCAATTGAGGCATTTCTGGAGATGCAAAGTGCAGGTGTTTCCCCTGATGATCAGACTTTCACTGGGGTTCTTTCTGCTTGCAGTCACTCTGGACTACTTGATGAGGGTAGGATGTTTTTCAATAGTATGAGCAAAGAGTTTGGGATTTCACCAAACATTCATCATTATGGGTGTGTGATTGATCTAATGGGTCGTGCTGGTATGGTTGATGAAGCTTACAACCTTATAAATTCGATGAAGGTCAAACCAGATGCAACAATATGGAGGACTCTACTAGGAGCTTGTAGGATTCATCACCAAGCTGACCTAGGAGAACAAGTCATTGAGCGTTTGATAGAACTTAAAGCACAAGAAGCCGGAGATTATGTACTACTGTTGAATATTTATTCATCGCTTGGTGATAGGGGTAAGGTAATAAACGTGAGAAAAATGATGAAAGACAGGGGAATCCAAACCAACCCTGCTTGTAGTACTATTGAGTTCAGAGGAAAAATACATGAATTCGTTGCAAATGACTTTTCGCACCCAAGAAAGACAGAAATTTACGAGATGTTGGATGAGATCAATCAGCAACTGAGGATAGCAGGATACGTTGCTGAGACAGTGGCAGAGTTGCACAATGTGGGTACAGAAGAGAAGCAGATTGCATTATCTTATCACAGTGAGAAATTGGCAATAGCTTTTGCGGTTCTATCAACTCCACCTGGCACGTCAATTAGAGTTGCAAAAGACCTCCGGATTTGTGTTGACTGCCATAACTTTGCCAAGATATTGTCAGCAGTCTATAGTCGGGAAGTTGTTATTAGAGATCGGAACCGCTTCCATCATTTCAGAGAAGGTCGATGCTCGTGCAATGACTATTGGTAATTGTAAAATGTTTAGCCAGTAAATTCTGGAGCAGAATGAAAGTAGGACTTAAAAAGATTTATCTTTTGAAAGAATGATGACAATGATATCGAAAGTGGAGTGGAATAAATCATGCATCAGGAGAACTCTAGACGTACAGGAAAGAGAGAATTCCATTATTGCGGAATACATCTTGAAGGTAGATTTAATTAGACTCATAGTCAGAGAGAAAGAATCTATAATATATATGTCAAATAACAAGACCAAGTTGTGGTCAGTATAAAGGCGAAACTTCCTGGGCTTATGGACTGAACTGAAGGAGTTTCAAGCTGGGAAAATTGTTGAATTTGCCAGATGGAAGACTGTGACTGCAAAAGGACTGTGTGATCAAAGAGAGGCTTACATAGAACAGTCGCAAACTGGCAAAGTGATTTATAATAAAATCTCGAAGGCCCACTTATCGAAGGACTGTTAAATTCCTTCCCCATCATCTTTCTTGTGTTAAATTTTTTCCATTAGTATCATAGACCCGAGTGAAGAATTGGTTAATATCACATACTAGTCAAATGGATAGGATTTTATAGAGTATGTCATTCTAATTGGAGATTGTGATCTAGTGGCAGCAGTATGATCTTGTTCAGGTTGGGAGACTCATTTTTTAAATTTTGAGAGAATTGGCTTCCTATTTAGTGAGGAAATCTATTTTTTACATATCTTGTGCAATATTTGAACAACAAAACTATTTAATCAATCAAATATGCCTTAATACGCTAGCTCTACTTGAGAAATGAATAACTTAACCCTTTGCTTGCTACTATTTGTGCTGAGCAAGAGCTTGACGACGTCAAGTTAAGCCGAGTCGTTAAGCCGTTGCATGCTAGCAGTTACTCTTCAGAGATATGGAACTCCAAGCCGATCAACAGGCCCAAGGAGAGTTCAAGGACTTCTTGCTTCGTCAGATGCTTTCCCGGACAACTTTGTTAGCGCTTCCAATCATTTATTTTCCCCCAAAAAAAGAGAAGCTATTACATGTACAAACATAGAGAAGAAGCTGTGGTAAAATTCACTGTAAAACTCCAAAAATTGGGTAAGCAAAGTGAACAACGGGCTTAGAATACTCACTTTTAGCATATAAGTTTCAGAATAAATCGAAGTACTTGCGGAATTTTCATCACACAATCCCCACAATGACGCTCAGATTCAAGAGCGATAGAAAGAGTTGATTTGACAAAAAAAAAAAAAAAAGGAACATGACAAGAGTGCCTCAACATCGTCATTTGAGAGTTTACATACCGGAAAGGAGATACAATTCTACAACCTATTGTTTGTTTCTCCGTAACAGAAGCACCTTTCAACTCAACTGCAAAACTGGAATTTGTTGATCATCGTAAATTTTGCTAAATTGCTTTATTCTTGTCATCATTTCTTCAGCTTGTATTCTTCTAAGCAGCTACAGGTTCTTTCTGAACAAAACCTGTACCCTTCTCAATGCTAGACTTCAATTCTGGCTTTAAAGCATCCAGAGCTTTCTGTTCATATTCGGACAATCCTTGAAGGTCAGACGAAATCAAAGCCTCAACCCCATTCTTTCCTATTTTAATCCTTGAAGCAAAGAATGGAAGCTCTGATACGTCAGACTGCACAAAAGCACACTCATAGACATCACTATCTCCATCAAGTGCACGGAGAGAGGACTCAACAAATCTTGCAGCAGCGTAAGCCATGGAAAGTGTAGCAGACCCTGCACCAGCCTTTGCCTCCACAACTTCAGTGCCAGCATTTTGAATCCTCACAGTTAGCTCCTGTACTTCTTCGTCAGTAAAAGTAGTTGATGGTTTTGTCTTTGATAACAAAGGCAAAATGGTAATACCAGCATGGCCACCCACAACTGGCACATCTACGTCTATAAGCCTCAAATTTTTCTTCTGAGCAACAAATGTGTTTGCCCTGACTACATCTAGGGTGGTAACTCCAAAAAGTTTTTTCGGATCATAAACACCCTTTCGCTTCAACACCTCTGCTGCAATTGGCACTGTGGAGTTGACTGGATTGCTAATGATGTGGATAAATGCATCAGGGCAGTTATCAGCAACAGCCTCGACCAATGTCTTCACAATGTTTGCGTTAATGTTAAACAGGTCATCACGTGTCATACCTGGCTTTCTTGGAACACCAGCAGGTATGACCACCACATTTACACCTTTCAAGCAGTTGGCCAATTCAGATGCTCCAGTGAAATCTGAAACTTGGGAGGGAGTGTTGCAGTGACTGAGATCAGCCGCAACTCCTTTGACATTAGCTATATCATAAAGGTTCAGCTCTGAAACTAGTGGTGACATCTTGACCAAAAGAGCCAAAGGTTGGCCAATACCACCACTTGCTCCAAGAATAGCCACTTTGTAAGATGCTTGAGGCTGAACACAATTAACATATCCCCTGTTTCCTTTTTGGGCCTTTGGAGTAATAGATTGTTTAAGGGCAGCAAGACTTTCTTTCCCAAGAAAGGACGATTCTGATTCACAGTTTACAGTTGTCGCAGCCTTCAAACCACTGAAACTCCTAATGTTGTTTTTGGAGTTGAATTTCACACCAAAGGCTTTTGACTGTGATATTGAGCTCCCTTTGCAACCAAGAGATGTGGTTGAGCCAACTGATAGAGTAGTTGCTGATGTAGCTGCCATTTCACACCCTGCAAAGCATAAACATGATGTTAATTTTCTATCGATATTTTTTTAGTACACAACATACCACATCTGATGCATGATGAAGAATCTTCCCTATCTGTTACATAAAAACATGTGACATTGCATGAATAAAGAATCAGTAATGTACTTCATTCAGTTTCCGATAATAGACAAACTTAGCATCTAAATGATGCACATCAAGTTAAATGAAATAGGCATCTTTCCTCGAGGAGTCTCCCTCGAGATTACCACTTAAGGGATCTTAGTTCTAGTTTCTAAAATAATACTCAAGTACTAATATTTTACTGTTTCGTAGCTGTATTATAACCTTGAGTATCACTTCCATTGTTCCTTAACACTTACTAAAAACATCATTACCAAAATAATGCAAGATTTTGACAGATGAGATTCACTTTCCTGTTTTAGATTTAGTAATATAGGGAGATATTAGCACTTTTCAGAAAACAATATTGCATGAAAAAGGATAGCCCTGTAAAAAGTACAGCAGGAAGGAGAAAATCCTTTTTTATTATTATTGAGAAATCACTGAGTGCCAGTAGCGCAGAGTTTGAAATTGTCTCCAATTAAATACCAGGCTTTTGTCCTTGACAAAGTTTAAAGCCAAGACTCCCGTCTAACTCAGGCATCACGTACTACACTCATTTGGTAAGCTTGTAAGAATTGGAGAAGTTTTGATAGTTTAAAAAATTGTGGGGCTTTCATGTTTATGAGAAAAAAATACACCTTTTGAGATCTAAATTGCATTTCAACTTCAAGTCAACTTGATATCAAATCATGACCATACGGGCTCTCAGAATAATATGCAGAGATGAATGGGGGGGAGTATCTGTTTTGCAAAGATTGTAATTGCATAGATACAACCAATCTGAAAATCCCAAAAACCTAATCACAGAGGAATCAACAGAATAAACTAAGAAGTGGGCCAAAAAAAAACAATACCTATTCACAGAGGAATCAACTGAATAAACTAGAAAGTAGGCCAAACTGTTTCAGAACAAGAGTGCAGATATTAACGGGTTGATTCTTCGCTCTTAAAAGAGTTGACATTGTATAGACACAGCCAAAAACTGAATCTATCTGGAACAGGATTACTAACAGAAGAATCCAGAGAGTAAGCGAGCTTTGTCAAAAACGAGAGGGCAGGTATTGCTATGGAGATTAGACAAACAAATCCTGATCCACACTGCTATGGTGCTCCCAACAGCTAAAGTTGGTTCTCAATACCAAAAAGAAAAAAAAGAAAAAGTAGGTATTAATAGTAAAAGTCTAGCACGGTGCTTGTAATAGAAAATGTTGCATCAGCAAATCACATCTGACCAGCTTTGAATGGAATAGAAAACACATTTGCTTGCCAGCTTATCTAGTCACATGTATCAAACCAACTATTGCCACAACTGTTGCTATAACAAGCCTTTCCACAAAAGAGGGAAAAAAAACTAGCAAAAGAGGACCAAATAACAGTCATTTTATCCCAAAAGAAATAGAGTCCAGTATGTGGTCCACACCACTGATAAAATGTTCACCTAAGACACTCGAGAAAACTGTTCCAGTTTTAACAACACTCATCCATAATTTGTTTAAAACACAGAAAAGAAAGATTGCAGATGTATCTTTGCTGCCACCTTGTCACCACTAAAATAGAGGACTCGGTAGCTCCAACAAGATGACAGAGGCATCTACGTCGTACAGGTAGGCTCTGCTCTACTCTTCAGCGAACAAGGAATACGAATAAGTGATACAGAAATGGATATTGGAGAAAGATGGACCCTGATTACAAATGATACAGAAGGCTGACGTAGTACAATGGATTTTGTGAAGGCATTCCATCACAAAATGGCACATAAACAAGATTTAAAACCAAAATATTTTCCCTCCAAAACTATAGATATTATTTTCAACCTAGGAATTTAGCCTCATTAGCATATCAAACGTGAAAAAATTGGTGAAGCTGACTGTTGATTATGTGAAAATAGACTATTTGGAATACTTACAAGATGTTAAAATCGGACTGCAAAAAGCATATTTCTAGAATATTACACATGCACCAGGCACCTATAACTACTAGATCAGATCCTTGTTTCACTCTCATTGAATTCAGGGAAAATGGATGGCAACAGTCGATGAGCTAATTAAAATGAATAACTGGACGCACAGGCTTATAAGTACAAAACTGTTTATGACAAGAACAACATATTAGAAAACAGAAATAGCACAATCGCTCCCTTACAATTTTACATCAAATATGCACATTCGCATCATTATCCTTTCATATAGAGAAGCGAGCGGGAGAGATCCGATTACTCCAAGTTTGATTTCAAACTCAGAATCATATCCAATAAACAAAAATAGCAGGGTTTAACAGATCTAGAGTTGCAACAAACGAAAACACATGCATAAAAGGGTTGATTTACATCAGAGCTACTGCATTCTATTGAATTCAACAAGCAGAATGCAAAAATCCAGCAACTGATCCGAACCTGAACTAGATTGAATCAAGGACGCAATTACATAAATAAAACTCCAGATCCAAAATGATGCAGAGAGAAAATACAAAACTATAGACGTAAATCTAAAGAGCAGGGATGGAATTACCTTAGAAGAAAAATACGGCGGAGCTGGGAAAGTGAAATGGAGGGGTCGGAAGAAATTAGGAAAAGGAGAGGAGAAAGAGAGAGAAATTTGTACGTTTTGCCTGAAAGAGAAGGCGAGCGAGTGAGTGAGTAGAGAATAGAGACCAGAGAGGGTTAAAAGGGGTAGGTTTTCATGTAAAAACAAGCTGAGTTGGTGAACTAGTGGCAAAAAATATGGCTCTCCGTCAAAACGCACCCTTCGATCACATCGACTGATGACGCTTGCATCTAAAATTCAACGGTGGACCGCTAAAGCCTAAAGAAAAACGGAATCTGCCTTTCTTTGATTCTTTTTCTTCTGCTCCTTTCTTTTTCATCCGTCCAATTTAAATCACCCTTTTTCTATTTTATTTTCTTTATTAGCACATAACCGACTTTTTTTTTTATATATATATATACTTTAATGAGATGACTTATACTCATATAAATATTTAAAATATTTTTAGTTTAATTCTTTTTGAAAAATTGTGTTTGACATAAATTGAGGCAAAAAATAAGTTCTTATAAAATTGTGTCTGATCAAATAGAAATAAATGGAGGGATTACTATTCTTTTGATAATACTTATTTTTATAACGCTTAAGATTTTTGGAATTCAAACTCAATCTTACCAATTGAAGTAAAACTTAATAGCTATAAATTCTCGTTTAACTAAATAAATAAAGTCAAGACTATATTTTAGAGTTGGAGGTGCCTAATCAATTAGTGTTACGACTTGCTGGGCTACAAACCTAACATTTGAAAATAACATGGATTAGATTGGGTTTCAGTTTTCTACTCTAGACTAGATAGACTCCAACCTAAGGCCCTCAAGGGGCCATTTGGTTAGAGAGATTAAAGTATTTGAAGACTAAATTTTCTTTAAAATGGTAAGCTTTAGCCTCTACATAACATTTTCAGCACCAATAATTCCTATATTATTATATTGTGGTATGTCAACCCCTTCATTATTATTTATAATATAAATAATCATTGTTCCATAGCTTCGAATAGCTATATAGCGTGTGACCCAAAAGACTCCTTGCTTTCAATAAACCAAAGGTCATTTGCTTTGAATCATAAAAAGATAATTTTGTGAAGCTTTTGGTTTCAATATACTAAAAGGTCAATATACTGGAGATCATTTGCTTTGAAGCATACTAAAGGCCATTTGCTTAATGTACATTAAAGGTCATTTTCTTTGAAGTATGCTAATGTCATTTGCTTTGGTGTTCAATAAAAATGTAAAATCATGCTTACCTAATGTCTCCACATAACTAATATTCCTGCATTGTTTAGTTGAAGTATTTGACTACTCACAAGTCACAATCACAACCCTTTGTTTGCAGTTCGAAGATAAAAAATAATAATCTTTTTAGTGTTGTGTTTCCTGTATAAAATCATACATCAGTACAATCTCATGAATTTCTTATCAAAGCTGTAGAAAGTTGAGTCCATAAATCCAAATTCCAAGTTTAAACTAACTTCAACATTGACAGGAATGCTTATTAGTTATTACTAGTACTGATCAATTAAGACTTTAAGAAAATCCGATTAAAGGCATAAATACTTCAATTACAAATCAAGTTTACAAAATATTAGCTAGTATGAAATTTCATCCTCTTCTTATACACTGAGCTTATCCATTTCCCTTCTTAGTGCATTAGCCCTCACCAAACTTCCAATGGTATTCACAGCAAGCTTCAAGTCTTCAATGGGGTTCCCTGGTGCAACTTTCTTGTACAAATAGCTGTCGAATGTCATCTTCTGCACATACTCATCAGCGCACATCTCCACGAAAGCTTCCCTTGCTGGATTCGACCTGTAAAATACCTTCTGCAATATATCAAGCACCTTGTATGTTGGCCAGTAAGTCTTGTCCCATTTCTCCAAGTACTTCCTCAAATCACTCTCGTCTACCATTCTCTTCCCATTTTCTGACCCTTCAACAATTGCTTCAGCACACATACGTCCACTCTTCGCCGCGAAGTAAATCCCTTCACCTGAACATTTGGTCACGTACCCTGCTGCATCCCCAACTAATGCGACTCTGTCTTGCAATCTTCTAGGCCTTGGGTGTTCTGGAATTGGGTGAGCCTCAACTCGGATGATTTTCCCGCCGGTGATTTTGGAATCGGCTCTCAGTCTTGTTGCTAGCTGGAATTTCTTAATGTCTGCTTTGTGGGTAACAGTGCCTGTGCCGACGGCAACGTGGTCACATTTGGGGAAAACCCAGCCGTAGAAATCAGGGGACACGTCATCACCGACGTACATTTCAGCTAAATTCTCGTAGTACTTCATTTTATCATCGGAAATTCTAATTCGTTCCTGGAATGCAATAGCGTACTCGTAGTCGCCGGCGTTAATGGATTTTGCGACACGGGAGTTTGCGCCGTCTGCGCCGATAACGGCGTCAACTTCCAGGGTGCACTTCTCACCGGCGCCGTTAGTTTTGGAATCGTAAGATGTGTAGTGTAGGACGTATGGTGAATTTGGGGCTTTTGGCATGTCCATTCTGAGAAACAAGCCGTTGAGAACAGAGGCTCCGGCTTCGGCAGCACGGTCACGGAGGTAGGCATCGAGTACTTCGCGGCGCACCATACCGATGTACTCGTGAGGCTTCAGAGTCTGTCCGATATCGACGGCGACGTTGGATGGGGAAATCATCTTCATCTTGGTAACTTTCCGGTCGATGATATCGAGAGGGAGATCGAATTCGCCCACCATACAAAGTGGGATGGCACCACCGCAGGGTTTGCAGTTGTCCATCTTGCGTTCGATTAAGAATGTCTCAATTCCGCCCTTAGCGAGCGTCTCCGCAGCGGCGCCACCAGCAGGACCACCACCAACCACCGCAACGCGAAGGTTTCGGCCAGTGACTCTTGGGCTGGACTTAGAAGCATTGATACGTAGCCTACGGTGGGTTTGGCTGGTAGGGAGGGATTTAGAGAAATTAATAGAGTTGTTTTCCGGCGAGGATTGACGGAGGCCGATGAAAGTTTTGAGAGCAATTGAAGCCATTGCTGTGTAGTGTGTGAGAACTGAAAGAGTGAGTGTGGAGATTTTATGAAATTTTTGTATGATTTTGAAGGATATGGTTAGAGATATTAAGGAGATGAGTGCCGTCGATGAAAAGGGATGAAGGGCTAAGATTTGATTTGGATAATAGTGGGTAGATTCTTGATTTGTTGTTTGTTTTTGGTTACGTTTTTTTTTTTTTGGTTTTATCATAGTATGGGTCTTTAATTTTGCATGATGTCCAAGTGGCTCACATTCTGCCACGTAGCTACAGTTTTCTATTGTGGCTCACCGTGCTCTTATGCTCAATTTTGCTCAAATATCTCTTTGAAGGAGTGTTCTCGGGAAATTTTTTAAGAAACAATCGCAATTGTGTACTAGACGGAGGCGGACCTACTTTGGTCAAGAGAACCCAAGAGGGTTCATATGAACCCACTTTGTAAAATATTACTTGGTATATATGATTTGTCCATTGAAATATACACGTATAAATTAAAAAATTGACCCCATCTAAGCAAATGATAGTCCTTGGTAAAGTGGGTTCATTTTTGTGGAAAAACCCCATCTAAGCAAATGAAATTGAACTTATATTAGCTCACCGTTGGTGGATCAACAATTTGTTAGGCCCAAATCATAGTGTCTAACATATTCCTAATTTTATTTGGATCACCAGTTATTCCATCCATCAATTTAATTTGTTGAAATGTTTCAAGATCGTTGGGTTTGCACCTTTACTGATGACTGGATTGAGAATTATTGGGCCTTATTTCCAAATTTTATACACTGAAATTGGAAACAAAGTTAAAATCCAAGTCCTCTTACAAATAACTATAGGAATAATTACTATTCAAGAAAGGGATATTGTAATTAAACAATTCTGTGAAATTCAGAAGATTAAATATAAATTAAATACCGATACGCAACTTATGTTTGTTAGAGTTGAATCGTTGTAACAGAACTCAAAGTAGATATGGTAGGTTTGAGTTTCTTAGACAGTTGGTTTATCAAACTCTTGCTACCTTCTTTAAGTCCATTTTTCTCTCCAACTTCCCCAGCTGCTGCTTTGGATTTTGTCCCCACATATACTTGCACTCACCTTTTTCTTTGTGGACATGCATTTATAAGGTAAGAATTTAGGCTTCATTAATATTCCTATAATAAAACTTTCAAAATCTTTTTAATACAGAGTACCTTTAACATGAAGTTGACTCTGACTTTAACAATTTTCTTAGCAGTTGTAATTGGAGGTTGCAATTGCAAGATTGTGCAATTCATCTTTGGAGACTCTCTTTCAGATGTTGGCAACAACAATTTCCTCTCCAAAAGCCTTGCTCGCGCCAATTTGCCATGGTATGGTATTGATTTTGGGAGTGGATTACCTAATGGTAGATTTTGCAATGGCCGTACTGTTGCTGATATAATTGGTAATTAACATTTTCAATTTAGTATATATTTTCAATTTCCTCTCCAAAAGCCTTGCTCGCGCCAATTGCCAATATTTGTAATTACGAATGCGTTCGCACATGTTAACCTTACCTATTGTGCAGGTGATGAAATGGGGCTTCCAAGACCACCAGCTTATCTTGATCAATCGTTAACAGAGGATGTTATACTATCTAACGGAGTAAATTTTGCCTCTGGTGGTGGTGGCATTCTAAACGAGACAGGCAGTTTATTTGTAAGTAATTCTCCTATCAATTTCCTTTAAAAATATACAATGTATTTAAAGTTTAATTTGATTGAATTGTATGTACAGATACAGAGGCTTTCCTTATACAAGCAAATAGAGTTGTTTCAAGGCATACAAGACTTAATTAGAGAAAAAATTGGAAGCAAAGAAGCTAACAAATTTTTCCAACAAGCAAGATACGTGGTAGCTCTAGGAAGTAATGATTTCATCAACAATTACTTAATGCCAGTTTATAAAGATTCATGGACGTACAATGACAAATCTTTCATCCAGTACTTGATGGACACTCAAAGGTCACAGCTTACAGTAAGTCACATGCAAATCCTTTTCTCCATCCTATTTGTTGAAATAGTCTGTCTACCTCCACAAACAAGTTGCTACCTTATGCAAATCTCATTACACTCAGTTTGTTGTTGTGGTAATTTATTTAACCAATGATGTTATTTCCTTTTCAGTTGTTGCATAGTTTGGGGGCAAGGGAGTTGATGGTGTTTGGGCTAGGGCCAATGGGTTGTATTCCACTTCAAAGGGTTCTAAGTACAGATGGTCAGTGTCAAGACAAGACTAACCAGCTGGCACTTGCTTTCAACAAAGCAACAAACGAACTTGTCGAAGAATTGTCAAACACACTTCCAAATGCTAGCTACAAATTTGGAGATGCTTATGATGTTGTCAACGATGTCATTACTAATCCCGGCAATTACGGTACAAACTTATAAGAATTATTTCAAGGATTACATAAATGTTATGGCTAAACATACAAATTTCTGTATCTTACGAAGAATTTTAATTTTGTGTACTAAAAGACTGACCGTATAAAAGATATTTATATTTTCAATATCGTGCCTGAGTTAAATTCAACAACGTAAATATTGCAGGTTTTAGTAACTCGGATTCGCCATGCTGCTCGTTTGGAAAAATTAGGCCAGCATTGACGTGTAATCCAGCATCGACATTGTGCAGCGATAGAAGCAAATATGTGTTTTGGGATGAATACCACCCTTCTGATAGTGCTAATCAGTTAATTGCTAAAGAGCTTATCAAGAAACTCGGATTTTTGAAGCCTAACCAAACTGATGCTTCTCCTCCTACACCAGCTTTGGGCCCTTCTTCCGATGATGATGAACAATAGGTTTTCTTTTGACATAATACAGAAACGTGTCTTAATTAACTTGGTCTTAGCTCACATCTTTAATTTGTCCTTTGACTTTGTGTGTGTACAATTTGACGATGAAACTATACTTAAAGTTGAACAAGTATATAGGATGCATGTATGGCTACTTGTTCAACTTTTATTATTATGATAGTTTTTGTGTTAAATCATCCACATCCAAATTGAAAGACATATATAGATGTCAATTGAAACAAAGTTATATGCAATTTATGTATTATGACTTTTTTTTTAACTTCCCATCTTGATTTTCTTGTTATATTACAGTATTCTACTGGAAAAATAGAAACATTATGGTCAACTAATCTGTTTCTTGTTCTTTTCCTTTTTTTTTGTACTGGACTACACATTAAACAATGAAGACATGCATACAAATAGAGTCAACTAGCATAGATCCAGTCCCGAATATTCTTGCAGTTTCTGCCAAGAATAACGTAACCTTTTATACAATAACATACCCAGTGAAATATTACATAAAGTGGGATCTAAGAAGGTTAAAGTGTACATACACCTTACTACTACCTCATAAAAATAGAGAGTTTATATCCAAAAGCCCCTCAGCTAACGTAACCTTTTATATGTATAAAATGTTAAATTTCTACATATATATATGGCCATATTTAACTATTGGCGTCCAAAGTATAGACAATACGTTTAAAGAGACAAATTTTCTTGTCCAATCCGGTTGATATGTGTTTGTGCACTCATCAAGATTTCAACCCCATTATATTATATATATAAAATTGGTAGTAGAAGATTCTATTTTCTAAAACTAAGACATGCTTCCAGCAAGCTTCTAAAATAAAATAAGCGATAATATGATCTTTTACCAAATTTTCGTGGGACCATGCAACCAAAGTGAATGGTTACCACCTCAAAACCCACCATATCCATCTAGCATGCATGTACTCTTGATTTGCCAAATTGCTCAAATTAAAGATATTATTTAAAAGGTGCATGAGATTAGTTTACTTAATAGCTATATTATAACATCATTACATCTTTGGTTGTCTAGCACGCACCACCCCTTTTGAAAGGGTAAGTGTTGAAAGAAATGTCTCATGTAAACTGGGATAAGATCTCGAGACTCCTTATATAGCTCGAATAATCTATTTCCTTTTTAGCTAATTTTAGTATGTGAATTAATTCCACAGTTCATTTTATCATAATATCATAGTCATAACTGTTGGGTCTAATGTAAGCTCCTCGAATCGTGTGGGGGTTGTGAATGTACTTTCGGGAAAAGAAAAAAAGAAATCCAACTTCATCAGAACTTTAAACTTCTAAATTGGAAACAACCTTCAATTCATCTGCTTTGCATTTTTCTTCTGATACCAAACAAAGTTCATATAATTAATATGAATCATAACATAAATAAGTACACTACATATAGAACATATATAATACTGCTAATTAATAAGTACTCCTCAACCAATTCATCAACTAAGCTACTAGCTAGATCTGATATATCTGATCACAGAGATTATCCACACGATCATTAACTTTCTTAATTAGCTATTCAAAATATGAGCCAATTATGATTAAAATGGTACTTAACACAGTTAATTATCTTAAAAACATATATATAGATATTATATTATCTAGCATTCAACACATCCTCTTCCTAATTGGGACCTTGGAGTATGACGATTATTCGCCCCAGAACCTGGATAATCGTTTATCATCTCTTCAGCCTCTAGTACTTCTCTTCTTGTTTTTTCCTAACAAATTCAGTTTTATAAATTACCATCAGACTAATTCGAACGAAAAAAATATAATTAAAGATAATGAAGAAGTATGTACGTACCATACGAATTATATTCTCTGAAAGTACATTATGTTCTTGAGATATGTCTAGTAGTACCAAACTTCTGCTTCCTGTCAATATATATTCATGATTATCGATCATCGATCGATAACAGAAGGAAAAATAAATTAAATTAACTAAGAGAACTGAAATATAAACTTACTTGTGACTGGGACGGCATTAATGAAGCAGTTGATAGTATAAGAAAAGCAAAGAAAAGTAGTAAATAAGCGAAAGAAAGGGGCAGCCATGCTCTTACTATGTTTCTAATAATTTGCTAGGATTTAATTTGCTGCAACAGAAGTGTCTAGTGCTCCATTTTATACATGCTTATTACGGACATATGGACCACTAACACATTATTATGGCAAAAAAAGGAAAAGAAAAAGGCAGTTAATTCTGTGAGCTTCGTTTGGTCGAGGCAATCAACTCATCGGCGATTTTATTGGTGCACGTGAATTCATGATCTCACTGATAAATTAGATATTTTTTAATATTATTTTGCCAGTGTTCATGATCTAAAAAAGGTTAAATGGTGTATTTGGTTGAATGCTAGGTTATCTCGAAGGAAGGGGAATCAATTCTCACTATGTGAAGATATGACATATAGGCCTAACTCAACCTCAAAAGCTAGATAATCGGAATAGGATTGTCCAAGTTCATAAGCAAACCATCTATTCATTCCCCAACTAATGTAACTCACTATAACATCCCCTTCACTTTCAAGCCTGACTGGAACATGGACTAAGAGCCCAAACGGGAGAGGACTGACTCTGATATATATAACATATGAGGCCTAACTCAACCCAAAAACTATCTCAAGAAGAGAGGATTGCTCAAGTCTATATAAGCAAATCATCAATCCATTTTTTAACTAAACGTGAAACTCTAACACAGTCGATACACTTTTGTTTTCTTTTTTATTAGTGGTGCATATATGCTATAGAAATTTTAGATTTGCATTTATCAAGTCACACTAAGTCAAAAAGTATAAATCAGAAAATGAATTTCATGTAAGGCATGCAACATTACTTAATAATTAGTTAAATAGTACACATAACGCGGTTAGGATGTTGGTCCATATCTTCCTCCCAATTTCCTTTTTGCATGTGAACCGTTGATATGAAACTTAAAAGCCAAAAAATAAGGGCACTTGACTTTTGTGGTTTCAGTGGACAGTATAATGATGAAGAAAATTTTATATAAAGTCAAAATGGGGAACAAAAAATATATATGAGTACTCTGTGCTAGTGGAGGGTGACAAAATAATGATGTGCCTCAATAAGGACTCTTGCTACTCTAATATTTTTTGTGAGGCCTTAGTGGAACATATTTATAATAATATGACGAATTTTATGGATATAGGTGCTCAACATATAACCGAGATAACAAGTATTCTATGAAATTAAATTTGATAATTGTGTTAATGAAAAATAACATATATCTCTTCAAATTTGTTAAGGTGCACGTAAACCAATTCATATTTTACAATATCAAAGTATTGAATAAGGCCCTTTTGACATACATAATTGAAAGAAAAGATTCACACAATCAACAAATATATAAACAATTTTTAGTTCTGTATATTGTTTATGAATATTTAGGACTTCCACTACAGAACCCATGCAACATGCATCATGCATGAACATTATCTAACAAGTAGAACTTTCCAGGCATTCATTATTTTACTTATTATATTCCTTGTTAAGAATAAAATAAAATCACACAGTATTTGTTATAACTCCACTAGCCAGATGTTAGGCTTATAACTTTTTTGACAAAATATATGGTACTTTGTGTTCTTATATTTCTGGTAAGAATCCACTATTCCTAATAATGCTTTATAACCAAAACATTCTCAATTATATTAGTTGCCATCATTTTACTTTTAGAGATATCACATTATTACTACTTCATGGCATATTCGAACTGATTTACTTTAATTTTGGATCATATATATATAATTAATGAGTGAACTTTTCGTTTACATGAAAATAATGGAGTATATTTTATCCGAGGTCCTTGCTTGGTACTAAGTTACTCACTCTAATTTTATGGCTTTACGTCTTTTCATATATTTGAGGGGCCAAAATCATCTCTAAATTCTGAAATTTCTGTGTTTGCAGATTCAAAATGATTCTAACTGATCACAAGGACTAACATTTGTTAACACTGAATTGGGCACGTTAAGATTGAACTTGGGTCCGATTGGAAAGCACTAATATTGGGCTTCCAAAACCGAATTGAAACCAAACATTACTCTAAAAAAATAATTTTTGGGCTAACATGCATGGTGTTTAAAGCAACTTTGAACATGGGCCAAATCAATTTGGGCTATCATGGACTTTGAGTCCGAAATTCGGGAAGCTATTTCATTTCAGGACCTTTGAGGCTCCATCTCCATATAGAATTGTCGGATCCCGGTCTATCACAATCCAAAGGCCCAAATTCAACTCAAAGTCTCAAACATATTACTAATATTCTTTGATTCACAAACCTTCCATTTGCTCGTGTGAATTCAATTGTAATTTCACATTTAGGATTCGTGTGGTAGAGATGCCTTTTTCCAATAAACAATTCCCTTTATAATAATACTTGGAGCTTTAATTTGTTGGGTTCAATTTCAAATATAATAACCGCATTGACTAATGAGTAATATAATACAAGAAAAATAAAACAAAAAGTTGAGTTTGAATTTCGGCCAATTTGGCTCTTCGTTCATCGAGCCTACGGTAAGCTAAGGAGCTTAGGCATGGGCTAAGGTCCTTTCTTTCAAAGGACCCCATATTTGATTGACAAAACATATCTTATAAAAATATATCCTTACGTATAGTTTTTTAATAATAGATCTAAAATGATAGATTAAATCAAAATGTCAAAAATAGTACGGGTCATATTCTCTAAATATACTATATTTATATTCATATGTTAAAATCTTTAAGTTGTGAGAATGTCAAATTATAAATATATATTTATTTAGCAAAAACATGCATTTTTCAAGAATAACCATAAATGACACTTGAGATAGAAGCGAAGTAGAACAAACTTAGGATGAGGTGGAATTTAATTTGCTAAAAATTTAAATGGGACAAGGTAAAATGGTTGATTTTGTCCAAATCTCCATTCACTGAGTATATTGATTTGACATATTAAATATGTGTTACTAATTATATTATTTCACACACATCGAATTTGATTCTGCTCTCACTTGGTATAACGATGATTTTATTAATATATTTATTTTTACAAAGTAAATATATTGCATATAAATATAATATTACAAAATAAAAAATAGATAAAGAAACTAAAGAGAGTATAACAAGGTTATATAGGGCGGGACTAGATAAAAATTTGGCAAATAGAAGTAGGACAGGGAAAAGCTGGGCAAAGTCATGCTCCACCTCGTTCCGCCCCAGTTAACTTCTCTGAGAATAACTGTAAAAGAAATTATTAGACCAACTTCAATTCACCTCTATTTTACTCTCCATACTCTATATTTGGAGAGTAAAATAGAGAATGGGCACTCCAACCCACCTCCAAATCACTCTCTATTCTTCAAATTTAGAGAGTTGAATAGTTGGAGAACTACTATTCACACTCTCTATTTCACATTTTTATTATTTTATTATTATTTCTATTACTTTCTAATTAACATATTATTTTACATATATTTCTATTAATTAAATATCTAATATTCATAATTCTTTTTTAAATGTAATATAATATTTTTAAATATTATTTAATATATACTATTTTAATTTCAAATTAATAGTATTTTATTTTTTTTCTAATTTTCGTGGATAATAAAATTTTATTTTATTATTAATTTTCATTATAAAGAATACGCAAAATTAAAATGTCAAGATGAAAAAATTTAATTTATAAATACAATATATGATATGATAATTTAAATACAAGATAACAATACAATACATAACATAATAATTTAAATACAAGATAACAATACAATATAATACATAACATAATAATTTAAATACAAGATAAAATACAATACATAACATAATAATTAATTGATCACAACAATAATTTAGAAATCCGGTAGGTCGTTTTCAGATTTAGCATTATTTGGAAAAAAATTAGGATATGATTCCGAGAATTGTTGTGATTGTGGTTGTGACTACAGTTGTGATAGTATACGATATGGGTTATTATTTAGCTGATGGTATATATCCTAAATGGTCTACAATTGTTCAAACAATTCGTGATCCTCATTCCCAACAAAAGAAATATTCACTATGAAACAAGAATCGTGCCGAAAAGATGTTGAACGTGCATTCGGAGTTTTGCAATTATTGCAGGACTGGCACGTTTTTGGAGAAAGGAAGTGCTACATGATATAATGACTACGTGTATTATACTGCACAACATGATAATTGAGGATGAACGTGATCTCAATGCACCAATTCAAGATGCCGTAGAGGCTCCAACTCCAACTATAGAAATGGTGATAGATGAAAATCTACGGTTTGAACAATTTTTAGCTAGACATAAAAAAATTAAGGAAAAAAATGCTCATTTTGAACTCCGTAATGCATTAATAGAGCATTTATGCGAGCAACGTAATAATTTTGAAAATTGAGTGTTTATGTAATTGTATGTCACTTTTATTTGAATTTGTCCCCTAATTTATGTATTATATTATATTTTATTGCAATTTATGTTATTTAAAAATTTAGAATTAAAATAATTTTATATCACATTAAAAATTATATAAAGTAATTATTTGGGAAAAAGGAAGTTAAGGATTTATATTATGAAATAAGAAAATAAGAATGAAATAGAAATAATAATATATTGAGGAGAGAGAGAAAGATTCATTTTTAGAGAGTAAAATAGAGAATTGGGTTGAAGTTGATTGTCTGAAAAAATAGAGAACTCTATATTTGGATAGTAAAATAGAGGATTTGGTTGGAGATGCTCTTACATGCTCATATAAAACTGGGAAAATTGTATGAAATAACATATTATTAATTCAAATTAAATGTTATAACCATAGTTTATTTTAATTGTAATTCGCAGCAAACATCTCTTTTTTTTGTCATCTAATTCGGTACACAATTAGTCATTTTATACATTTCGGTATAAAATGTATAAAATGTGTTTGTGTTTGTATAAAGCGAGAGAAAAATGTATATACAAATACAAATACATAAATTTTCGTCTTATACACTTATAATTATACAAATACAGATCTTATTATACAAATTACAATGTATAAATGAATTTAT